CCCACGTATATAAAGGGGGGAGGAGAGGTGGCCGGCCCAAGGGGGGGCGCGCTATGGGGGGGAGTCCTACTTGGACTCCCAGTCCAAGTAGGATTCGCCCCCCTTCCATATTCCCACTAGGAGAAGGAGGGAAGGAGGAGGAGGAGAGAAGGAAAGGGGGGCGGTCCCCCCAACCCTAGTCCAATTCGGATTGGGCTTGGGGGCACCACCACCTGGCCGTCGCCTCCTCTCCCCACTAGGGCCCACAAAGGCCCATTAACTCCTGGGGGGTTCCGGTAACCCCCGGTACTCCGGAAAATGCCCGAACCTATCCAAAACCATTCCGTTGTCCAAACATAACATTCTAATGTATCAATCTTTATGTCTCGACCATTTCGAGACTCCTCCTCATGTCCGTGATCATAGCCGTAACTCCAAACAAACTTTGGTTCATCAAATCACATAACTCATAATACAAATCATCATCGAACGTTAAGCGTGCCGACCCTACGGGTTCGAGAAATATGTAGACATGACCGAGACATATCTCCGGTCAATAACCAATAGCGGAATCTGGATGCTCATATTGGCTCCTACATATTCTACAAGATATTTATCGATCAAACCGCATAACAACATACATCGTTCCCTTTGTCATCGGTATGTTACTTGCCCGATATTCAATCGTCGGTATCATCATACCTAGTTCAATCTCGTTGCCGGCAAGTCTCTTTACTCATTCCGTAATGCATTACCCCGTGGCTAACTCTGTAGACACATTGATTGCAAGGCTCATAGTGATGTGCATTACCGAGAGGGCCCAGAGATACCTCTCCGATACACGGAGTGACAAATCCTAATCTCGATCTATGCCAACTCAACAAACACCTTCGTACACACCTGTAGGGCATCTTTATAATCACCCACTTACGTTGTGACGTTTGATAGCACACAAGGTGTTCCTCCGGTATTCGGGATTTGCATAATCTCATAGTCAGAGGAACATGTATAAGTCATGAAAAAAGCAATAGCAATAAAACAAAACGATCATTATGCTAAGCTAACGGATGGGTCTTGTCCATCACACTAGTCTCTAATGATGTGATCCCATTTATCAAATGACAACACATGTCTATGGTTAGGAAACTTAACCATCTTTGATTAAACACTATGTTTTGTCTATGTATCCACACATGTATCAAGTTTCCGGTTCATACAATTCTAGCATGGATAATAAACATTTATCATGATATAAGGAAATATAAAATAACAACTTTATTATTGCCTCTAGCCATATTTCCTTCAAAGAGTACCATAGCTAGCGGCCAACAGGTAAGAATACTAAACCATATGTTTCAAGACTTCCAGCCTTGTCCTTGATTTCATAAGTACATCACATGTGATCTGATCTACTAGTCACCAAACTGAAGCATTGCACCTCACAAGTTCAATGCTTTTTAGCGGAGTTCAAAAAACTACCAATTCCTCTAACGAGGCATATGGCTTTCTTTCTTAGTAATGAGGTGTCTGCCTAACTAAAAAATAGTCTACACAATGTCAATAACTCAATGGAGATTGTGATATAATATGATCAAATGAAACACTCGCATTAAAGAGAAATACTCTCGAGAGTAAAATAAATTCAACGATAAATTCATTTATTTATTAATATTATTACATGAAAATATACTCTCTTTGAATTTTGAAAAATTAACAAAAACATGTAACGTAGACAACAAAAATACGCATGATAATTCTCACACAGCACAAATATTTTACTATTATTAGAGGATAATAGGAAACATTGTAAGGTTTCTAATAATAACTTCAAAATTCAAGCTGAACAAAAATCCAACAATGCATCATAATAAACTTCAAAATAATTCTTCATATATATTAATTATGTCAATCGTTAATAATACGTTGGATCCTCAGGATAGCCGACCGAAAAACATGTAACTCAACACTATTTATAATTAGAATTACACTAGGTAATTCAAATTTATAATATAAAAATTGTATAATTTCTCGAATGAAAGACAATTCCATTTTTCACAATTATGCTTTCATATGTTTTCTTGAGTGCCCACAGAAGATATTAAACATGAGAAAAATATGCAAATTACATTTATATGAATGGTGGTACAATTTCTCAAGTGCCAACTGGATTTCCAATAATTGGCTGTTTACCTGAAATAAACCCTTGCAAACAGTTCCATTTAGGGAACATGATTTATATTTTCAAATAAGTGCGATGTGGTCAGAATACGCAATTTCCATTAGCGTGTGTGGTTACGGAGACTTAATGGAACCAACCAGTTGTATTGTGGGCAAGCCAACATTGTGGACGTCCTGGCCGATCGAGTGAAAGTGCTCACAATGGCACAAACATCGACCCAACTACAGGATTTCCATGAGACGATAGATACCACATGCCACTCTCCTAGGGAGTAGACCAGAACTCAGAGTTGCCACAGTTTGATAGTTTTGTAATGAAAAATGGTGGCTAGTCTATTAACTACCTTAGTTAGCTAGCTTTCATCTCTGTGATGTCGTATCCATGTTGACATCTCATATCAATTTAAAAACATTCGATTAAGCTAACTGACAAGTTCATGTGGCCTTTTTGATTTATGGTCGAGGATCGTGGTTTTATTTCATTATTGTTCAGATGGCTTGATTGATATCCACTTAACGGTGATGAAAGGCTAGCTATTACTCTCACAGACAGGCATGAAGATGGAAGATCCATATGTCACTGGTCCGTCAGGGTCAATGTGACACATCGATGGCTCACGCAATAGAATCCAAATAGCTAGTGGTAGGAAAATGACATCACCTCCTCACATCTTATAAGAGCATAGACAAGGCACAATCTTCCCATCGTTCTTCTGTGCAACTCTTGTACTACATGAATGGTCTGGATATTAATAGCATAGTGTCTGATCTAATGTGATTGAGGGTAACCTGATGAGAAGGACATGTTACTTTAGGGTGGACTTGTAATAATGTTAAGGTCGACAGTTAACATCCACCTTATCTATATATTATATTATGAATGCAAGAGGCATACAAGTCTTTATGCTTTGTCCAAATAGTCTGAAAAAATTATGTACTGACCTATTATTATATTCCAAAAATAAGGGAAATAAAAAACACCTTGTTTGTGCGCATAGACTAAAAATATATGATTCATTTATTATATTACTGAAACAAGAGGCAAAAAACCCACCACATTGATCCACATAGTTTAAATTATATACTCAATATCAATTGTGAATGTTGAGATTAAAAGATATACAAGTTACATATAACTGTACAATATATCACCCATCAGGTATAACCATATGCCTGCAAACTCCGTCACCTAGTACATAAAATAGGACGGTTTAAATGTGTTTTAATAGGATTCAATTGTGACGCCCGGATGATTAGGCTACAGTGAACCTCTCCTAATGATGCCACGTCACCTCGATTATGGTTGCTAATCTCGCGTTAGTCTGAGAACGGTTCGAATTCAAATTCAAAATCAAGCAAACAATAAAAGTTTTCAAATATTAAAACTAAAATGTTTGGAGTGAGCCAAATAATCCATATTAAATATTGGTGAAGAAACCACACTTTTGTAAAGTATTTAAATCCACTATAGTAAGTAAAACAGCAGAAAAACAATTATTTTAAATGCTTTTAAATACTAAACAAATGTTACTCTAGTTTATATAATCACCAAACTTTTTGGAATAGGTGGCCTATGTTATTATGCTAATTTAGGAGTAGGGGTTACATTTTTGTAAAGCTGTTTTGCTAACTAAAATAAATAAAACAGCAAAAAAATAAGAAAAAGATAAAAACAGAAAATAAAACAAAAACGTAAAACAAATTAAAAAAAGATAAAAGAGAACCCCCCCTCCCCGCTGGGCCACGGCCCAGATGGCCTCGGGGCCAATCAGGCCGGCCCAGCCGGCGCCCCACGCCCTCCTCCATATCCCCCACTCGGGGAAAACCCCACCGACACCTGCGAAAATATCTCACCCACTCGTGCCCCCACTACGCTCTCCTCCCCCCTTGATCTGATCTGGATCGGGGA